ATAGTATATAGGAGTTCGAAAAATACTTTGTGAATCAAAGCCTCTCAGGTAAAAACAAACAAAAAAATCTAACCCCAAAACTTATGATCTGCTTGGTTTTGTTTATAATGTATGGACACAGACAAGAAAATTGCTGCAAAGTCTCCCATGTAGAACCAATTCTGGGTAACTGCTGTATTTAACACTGAAGTGAAAAGAAGGAAGCAATCACAAGATTTTCGTCTCTTAGCATTTTTTTTTTCCTCTTATTATCTTCTTCTCACTCAGCCTCAAGTATCTGACTGAATCACCACTCTCACCACTTCTTCCTGGTTTTCCAACTCTGTAGCAGCCAAACATTATAGACAGGAAAAGAGATTTCAAAAACCTCCTTCTCTAGAATTTCAACTCAGTGCTCTGTTCATGTTCCCTATTTTAAAAGGTGTAGTGTCTCCACTTCCTTCAACTGAATGTTGCAGAACATGTTTCCCAACATCCCAAGAGCAAACCTGTTATGCTGTACTGAAGTCTGTCACCTCATTCAGTCTTTCAAAGAGCTGAGATATAACAGCAATACTAAGCAGTTACAGAGGTTGGATCTGCCTATAAGGCAGAACTAGTTTATTTTTATCTGAATATGTTTGTGCCGTATCTGTCACACTGTATCTCTGAAACCTCTCAGTCTATCAGGCAACTGTTCACATCCTCCTCCAAAGTCTGGCTTCTTGACTACGGCTATCTCACACAAACAAGCTTCAATCAAAATATGTTGAAGGTGTGTTTGCATAAACTAGTAGAACATACGTTCCTGCCAGAAAGATACCACTAGAATAAACACTTACTTTGTCTCTTGAATTCACTTAAAGCTAGTTACTCTGATCTAAATTTATCATTCTCCCACCAGACAAGGCATTCACCTAAAATGCTTTTCATTTCTTCTCTTATTTCTCTTTCTTTGCAAAGATGTGGAAGAGAGCTGCTGTATGTAGGGATACAGCATGCAACAATAATTTACTGACAAAGTCAAAAACCATAATGGTGTTCCTGGGACATCAACAAAGACAGAGTTAAAACAGTAGATGGAAATCGCACCAGGTTTCATGCTGAGAAATTCAAACATTGACACTGGATCTAAACACGGTAAGAATGAGTAAAATATCAATTTTTGACATATAGATGCCAACTAAAAGGCTTAAAGGTTGGAGTATTACCAGGGGAGGGAGAGATGCAAGGAGATTAAAAACTTTTCCAAAACACACTTTTTGCTCTCAAATAATTCTCAAAGAACAATGTTACTTTTAATCTTTCCATAGCAAATTATCAAAATTCAATTTTATAAAAGCTATAACTTAGTCAAAAGCTGAACACTTATATTTGATTTTCCTTCCTCCTCTTATTCTTCTCTGAAGCTCTGGGATTTTAATACAATAAAGACAAGATCCTATTCATCTTCTTGCAAAGCCAAACCTAAACTGAAACAGCTTTACAAAGTACAAACCTAGCCTCCTACATGAACTGCAGCAAATTCACTTCACTTAAACTGGATACAGTAAAATCTTCAAAGCTCAGTTATTTGAAAACATCAGGATTGCAATGAAACTGAAATGTGCACTGTCTGACAAAACAACAAGACTTTCTGTCAGATGTTAATTAAGACTTTGCTTGATGGAATATGCTTTGTGTTACTAAAGAAGCCAGACTCTATACTGCAGCCATTTCAAAAAAGCAGCACCACAAAAACACTTAAATTCCTCCCAGCAGACTGAGGTTTTTTTTTTCGACAGACCAGCTTGTCACAATATGATAGTGAAGGTTTCTCTCCAAGGAGGACTTGAGGCCATGGTTGAACTTGCAGAGGAAAAAGATCTGGACATGGTTTCAGGTTTGTACCAAAGATAATACAAACAAACAAGCAATCAAAAAAAAAAAAAAAAAAGAAAAAACAACAAACAACCCAACACAACAAAAACAACAGAATAATCTTTGAGGAAGTCCTTACAGAATCAGACAAAGACTAACTTATGTCTTATCATTAAGTCTCAGTTTATTTCAAGCATTCATTTAAGCTGCTATGAATATTAAATGATGACAAATATTTACTATTAAACCTGTAGAAATTAGTATTTGTTTTAAAATCAGGAATGGTAATCACTGACACTAAGGCAGCACTCCTGACCAACCTTCTACTGTTAATTGAATGACTTCAAATTTTCTCCGGAAAAATAAGAACCATTAGGCTTATTAAGTCCTAAATCTGATCAGTTCTTCATTTATTTTTGTATTAAGTATAGACATTTTCAATGTCAAAAGATTATTTGATTCAAAAATAATTGTCACTGGGGAAAGTAAGGCAATGAAAACAAATTGATGATAATGGACATTTTCATTTGTTCCAATCCCAGAAGCAATAAAGAAAGAATTAATATTGGCATATCCTGGCTCCCTCCCTTTGCTTTCTATTAATTCATTTCAACTTCATTAATGGGAGATAAAACTTGAAGTTTTGTTTTCACACCACCAAACAGTAATGCAGATCTTCACAACAGAAAAGCAATATGACTGTGAGTAACACTCCCTCAGCAACTGAAGCTTTAAGATATCTGAGAGCTGGAGGCACAGCCTCCTTACAGAATAATAAAACCTTTCTTGACAGCAGGAGGTGAAAATAAAATGACAGCAGTCCAATATCTGTTCTTCAGGAGGAGCCATGGATACACCCTGCTAGGCTAGAAAAGTGCAAATGTGGGTGTTTGACCTTCTAAGGATTCCTCTCTTGTACGCATAAAGATACAATCCTTGTTTAAGAGGAGAAGACATTAAAGATCCAGGTAAGAATTTATACTGAGACTTTAAAATGGCATTGGAAGTCATCTGTGAGCAAATAACAAAAATAATCCCGATTGTATCAGGACACAGGTATGTTTCTATGTTTCCATAAACTCACATTGCTCTTACATAGGTATGCATTCTTAATGACTTTCAGAAATAATTTTTTAGGGACTAATTTATTATTTGCATATTTTTATATTTTGATCCTCTACAATATCATCAGTAAAACATTACTTTTTAAATCCCCATTCAGAGGAAAGAAATAAAGGAAAATCCTCCTGTCTGAGTCTGGTAAGGAATTCGTAGTCTAAAATTAAAATGAGACAATCAACAACATTTTGTGGACAGTTTTACATTCAAAAGCATTTATTTGGAAATGCTTGAATGGGGAGGACCAGGAACGTTTTCTGGCACAAGACTTGGCCTGGGAGCAAATGAAAACAGTGTGATACAGGGAGTTAAAGAAATTAGGAGATGATACCATTGTATCTTCAGAAGGCAAGATACAAGCAGGCTCTCCCTGCCTCCTCTTATCTCTGCTGATTTAAATTTGGAAGGCCTGGAAGACAGGAACAAAAGAGAGAGCCAGAAGCTGTCACTCCAAAGAGCAGGCTTGACCATTCTGGAATATAAGTAAGAAAATGTGAATATGTAAATGTTCCTTGTAGACACTAACTAACCTTCACCACCTGGGCAACCTATCACAGTCAAAGACCAGAACCCCTGACACTAAGACTTTGCTGGATGGAGCAGTAGTGAACTGCTTTGCTTTGCTATTTGTATGTCGGTATGTCTGTCTATCTCCCTGTTTGCTACCTTTTCTCTTTACCTTCTATCTTTTCACCCTTTGTGGTAGCTGTTGCCTAACATTGTCTTAGAAATTTTAGCATAGAAATAACTCCCTCGCTGAAGTACTCTTGCCTGTAACACTTATTAGTCGTTATAAGCAAATTAGCCAGTTTTACCTCTGAATATTTGTTGTCAGAAATCTCTCAATAACTTGATTTGTCTTATTACTCTGAGTCTTGCCTAATTCCATTGTGGTAGTGACCCCTGTTGACCAGGGTGGGCACAACTTAAAAGGCAGAAAAAGATTCACTTCCTCAAAACCACTGAGTTTAGACACCTTCAAACCTCTACTAATGCAACATACAGGACAAATATGTACATTTAATGGCGTTTCTTGGGAGCAACCTTTTATGCTTTAATATATTTACTAGGATTTGAGTGGAGATCTTATTTTGTTTTGAAATTTATATGATTATTTAATAAAGATAATAGAGAGGTTTGTTGGTTAGTCTGAGTATTTCCATATCATTCAATCTCAGAAAAAATTCTGCTCAGGCTTTCTTCCAGTGGGAACAATTTCAGCAAAAAAATAATCAATAGCAAAATGGGGCTGGCTGTGCTTTGGTGCAATCAGCTTGCACTTGTGTTTGGAGAAAGATGCAAATAAATAATGTCTTAATATCTTCCTAATAATTGATTTTAACTTTAGCATTTTTGAAATGAATCTTGCAGTTTATAAAGCTAAAAATCAAGACTAATCACCAGTGTAATTTTCCAGCTTGTAAGAGAACAAGCTGTCATCCATGTCCTATAGTTAACATCTCGCTGCACAGCTAGACTTAATTTAGGTAAAGCTTTTTTTTTTTTTTCCTATAATTCTCTCATACAAGGTACCATCCATTCCAAATAAAACCCTGAATATTTCTTTCTTTCCATAGTGAACTCACTCAAAATACCAAACTGGTTTGTTTTTTTTTTACATGTTAGTTAAAAACATATCAAACACAAATGCTGAAATCAGTTATGTTGCACTTGAAGTACAAAATTGGCAGGCATTTAACCCTGCTAGTGTCTGACCACTGACTTCTCTTTCAGTACCATTTATATAATGTAGAGAGTTGTTTCCTGGTGATCTGAGGGCATTTCTGTGTTTTCATTCATCCATAACCTTCAGTCACTCATTTTTAAATAATCACTGCTATGTTAAATAATCATAAAGAATTCTGTTTATCATTAGCTCTTGACAAAGGCTACACATTATGGATAAAAAACTACAGTGGAAAGAGTAATGAGTCAGAAACTAATCACACTTCCTCAGATTCAGAGGATTCTATCAAACAATGCCATTAGATTTTTTCCATAAATTGAACGACATTTCAAAGTAGTTTTGAAGCCTTAGACAATTTCTGCAATAGTCAGTTTATGGTTTAATGAAAATTTCTGTGTATGAAGAAATATACAAAACACAGAATGACAGCAAAGATAATTTCTAAAAAAAATTATACTAAGTCTAATTACAGAATGATGTGTTTATATAGACAACATGGTTGTCAATTCTCTAGAAAGTTTATACTGTAGTATAAAGCTCCACTTTTAGATCATACATTATGCAATACATTGTATAAATCCAATAAAACTTTTACAAAATAATCAAAGCAGAACACAAGTAATTATCCTTGTAGGTCAAGCATTCAATTGTTTCCTGCAAGGATTAATTAAAAAGATATCTTCTCACAATTTAAAAGCAAGATTCTCATAAATAGCTAAATGCCCAATCCATTTTTTCAGTAAAGTTTTCAGAAATTCTCAGTGAGAGATGAACAGAACTCCTAAATGAATAAGGCTAAACACTAACAGAATGCTACAGTTCACAGGATTAGACACAAAAATCAATTAAATCATTCTTGCTGATTTCAATGAGCCATAGCCTTGATATAGATGAACATGAAGTTTTACTCACGAGAAAAAGGGATACTTCAACTGACATTAGGCCAATGCCACTGCTGGCTGTCCCAAGAATAGACCTCCTGCCTGGGTCCACCATGGCTGTTATAATTATATGTGATCCCCTCCTTACATGGAGAAGATGCATCTCCTCTCTGCTTTGCTTCTTTTCACATTCATGACTGACCCAGAGAAAGGTATCTGTCCCTGTTTTCCAGAGGATGCTGAAATATGAACCTTGATGAATCTTTTACTGACAGAAGAAAATAGAGAAAAGGGAATGGAACAATAAACACAGAACTAAAAACTCAGGATTTTTGCAAGCTACCGTTACATAATTTTTGGTACTTGCTTTTATCAGGTGAGTTTGGACTCAATGATCTCTTGAGGTCCTTTCAATTCTATGATTCTTTCTGACTTACTAGATCAATTGAGCTAGAAAAATATATTCCTCATTCCACTGGATGGTTTACCTTCTTTGCCCTTCTTCCAAAGCCATTTCTGGTAGGCTTGCTGCTTTAACTCCCTCCAGCCAGTGCAGGCCGTTGAGCAACGTGGAGTCAGGAGCACCACCGTGTGGCACCTGGGAAATAAAAAAAAAAAGTTACTACAACTGAAATGATGCAGGAAAAAGGCTGATAGGGGAAAGTTGCTATAAAATAGCACAACTTTTATTTATTTATTTATTTTAATAAAGGTAAGCAAAACTGTTTTTTTTTCAGTTTAAAAATAATATTAAATTATGTGGACAGACAGATAGATAAATTGTAGGATCCTTTCAGAATCTCAGAAAGATGTGTGGCCTGCTTTATTGTTACTTTCCAAACTTTAGAGCACTGGCTTTCTTAGGGCCTATACAACATAAACACATTTAAGTTTCTGCTGTGCTGAGGCTGCTTCCTACCAGATTAATTAATATCCCTGCTTTCATTTCCCATCTAGCCCTCCTGCTTGCTGTAGTTTAAACCTCAAAAGCATACACGAGGTCAGGACCATTTTTTGTTCTGAGCTTGGATGCCCCTCTGGCCAACAATGAGAGATCACAGTGCTATAGAAAGGTCAGTGGGTGAGGTAAAGATAAAGCTTGTTCAGTCAGCAAAAGGGAAATTAAATTATATTATTACTTGTTTTAAAAGCAAATAAGTAGATAACATTATTATAAGAGCAATTAGTTGCAAAGATTCTGATCTAAAAGAAATTATATTGGTAGAATATTTTATAACAGTGATAATGTGAGAAATAAATTATTTTTTTGGAGACCAAATCTCTTGTGAAAAAGTTTTAATTTGTGATATTGCAATCGCAGATGTCCTGCAAGCAGGATCACACAACCAAAAACACATCGCAGCTTTATATCTCCTATCCACTGACACCAAGAATTCCTTCTGTTCCCTAGTTAATCTACCCTATACTTAGTAGTGTATTTACATCCTAATCCCATCAACCTTTAATCACTCTCTCTCACCTCCTACTTTGTTACTCCTTGTTTATCGTGTTTGTCCCATCCATTTCCCTATCTCAACAGCTGAGCCTCTCACTATCTGCTTTTCTGTTAATCTAAGCTTACCATAACTGATGTGCGAGGTTGGAGGAAAAAAACAGTGACAATTTTAACTCTCACAATAAGAAAAATTCAATTTCTCTGTATTTTTCAAAGTTGAGGAAAACAAATCAGACATTGTAATTAAAATAATGACTTCATGAACTGTAAGAGTACTATACTTTTACAAACAAATCTTCAGAATAGCTGTGCTACTCAAATGCTGAATTCTACTCCCCATGAAAGGTACATTTTACTGAGAACTCAACTAGGTCCCAGCTGTATGTAATACATCTGTGGGATCTTGTATTTTCTACCAGTTTTCTCTGATGCTAAGGTGAGTTTGGCTGAGGAAAACAGGCCCTAGTGCTGAGAAACATTTTCAGCATGCTATTACTCCAGACAAAGTCAGAAACTTAAAACAGGAAGAATAGGATGTCTCCAGAGAAAGACATCTTCATGGTTACAGTTAACCATAATCAAACTTCAAAGAGTAATTACTTAAACTCTGGTCAAGCTTAGGGACATCAGACTAAACTGGTGACTTTCAAATAAGCACCTGAAAGTACATGCTCAGAAACAATCGTGTCCAAAAACACAAAGGGGCAGTAAAGGGAGCTCAGGGGCTGGCTGAAGGTGAGCCAGCTTTGCCAGGCACAGAACAGCCAGTATTCAGTTCCAGGACCACCCAGGTCCTATGCTTGTGTTCCTGCTGCAGCACACTGCTTCCCTCAGTCTTGTATAACCACAACTTCTTGGTTGTAACAGGAAATCACAAAAGAAATACATTTTTCAAGAGATTCTAACTTTTCTGTTGGCATTCACAACTGGGAGTAGTCCCTTTTTAATACTTTTTTCCTTTTTCATTTATTGATACCTTTCAAGACTAGTTCACTTCCAGAAATTCAGATGTTTGCAGCATTAATAAATAAGCAAAAGAGTATCATCATCTTGCAGGTTTCTGACCCTTCAGAAACGTCTGGCTTTGTTGTCTAATGCAGATTATAGTGCAAATTATTCTGCTTGTACATACATGACAAACATTTTGGGCACAGCTGGCTGGATTTTTTTTCGAATGGCTGCACTGGCATCCCAAAATGCAGCCATACAGTGTCCTCTGGCTTCTGCTATCAACCTAACATTTAATTGTAGTTCATTATCATTTCCTCAATGTTACAACAGAAAGGGAGGGAAAGATTGAACATAATTCTAAAACATAACATATAGCATCTATTTCTTTTATGGAAAAAAATTTCTTTAGTGGGAACTGGGGAGAGAGAATCAATTTCTCCCACATGAAATTTTTTTTCCATTTCACCCTTCTCCCCAAGGATTAAATCCTAGCAATATCAAAGATTATAAAGAAAATAGAAACATATGGGCTTTTCTAATTGCTGTCCTGCTGCATCTTATTAAAATATTAATACTTCTTACTTATATAGCACCTGTCTGCAGGAGCATCCTAGCTGCTTTAATTATAGAGCAAAGTCTATTTTAAAGATAAGTATGTGTAAGAGGAAAACAGAAATCATTAAACATAATTCAAAATAATAAATACACTCAGTGTGCCTTGAATGATGCATTATGATTAAAATAATCCCATGAATCTAACTTTTGGAGTGCCTTTTCAAATCTCAGGAGAAAATCTCATCCAACACACCACAGCCATGAGAACAAAGACACAGACGGCTTTGTCAGCTTCTGCAAACAGTGTTAGAGCAACACAATTTTAAGCTCTCTGAGGAAAAGATACTGTGATTGTTATTTATGTTACATTGGTGCCTAGGAGGCAAGAGCAGTCAGGCCCAGAGTTCCATTAAACTCTGCACTGTACAAGTGCAGTACAAGCCTGGTGTCAAGAGGTGAGTCCTTTCTGCCACCAAGCCTCTGACCTGTGCTGTGCCTGCTCTCACCATTAGCTCCAGTGCCTCACCAATTTCAGACAACCGAAAAAAACAAATTGCCTTTCAGTCAGAAATGGCAACTGCAAAATGTAAAAATAGAATGTCACAGGTAAATAGGAAGACAAAATTGCAAGGAAAGAAGAAACAGAGAGACAAGAGGTTGCTTTCACAAATTCTAGGTCAAAGGCAAAACACAACTGAGATCTCCCACATCTAAGTGTAAATCTCTGTTCCTTAGACTCAAGAGCCATGACTGTATATATGAAGAATTAAACTGCTATTAAAGCATTTAATTCCAAAAGAAAAATGAAATGATGCATAATTCTACTGGTAGCTAAAAACATGCACCCAGCAGTAGATGAGCAGAATCTTCCCTATTCAGACTATAAAATTATGATAGTTACTATATTTAGTACAAGTTGTATATATCAGTCAAATGTTCAAGCAGCTCAGCAAACCATGATGTCACAGTCTGGTCTTTTTCTTGAGCAAGCAAGCATCCATTGAACATATGAGCATGGAAAGTGAGGGCCAAACAGTCATTCTGAGGTTGTAGACCCCAGTCTGGTCACAATGCCTACTAAGCAAGTACTGAATTTTTAAAATCATCAGTATTTTTCCCCAAATCCTCTGCAATGACATCTCCTACAAAACAAATGCCCATGCACTGGGTGATGGACTTTGTACTGTGCAGATATGTGCTGGAGGTGAGCACCCAGACTGCAAAGCACAGAATGCTGAAGCACTGATAAAGGGCCAACAATCTCTTGTAAAATCCCTTACAACATCAACAAATGCTGCAGTTTGTGAAATATAAACAGGCTTCTGAATAAACTACAACATGCAAAAATAAATTATTTCTCTTTATATTTTATGTAGTTATTATGTATGTTGTCGTTGTTACTGCCCTATTTCAAGCCTTACAGAAAATAAGTCCTCCTGTAGTCATTACCCAGTCTTTCTATGACCAGATCAGTCAGTTCTGAGTGACCTAGACTTAGACAACACAAGTGATGGCTCTGCTACATGTCACTCCTGCTCTTACTGCAAAACTATTGAGAGGAATGTTGCTGTATATTATCAGTAGCACCAGGGGCCAATTTTTTGTTATTATTATTTTTTTATTTTTATTTATTTATTTATTTTTTCAAGAGAGCCTTAACCTAAATTACTAGCAAAAAAAAAAAAAAAAAAAAAGTGAAAAAAGGTGAATTACTGTCTGTAACCAGAGTGGGACCTTCTGGGAGCACCCCACTGTCTTTTGGCATTTTCTGTCTGCTCTGATTAGAAATAGTCTAGAACATACAACTTGACAGAAGAATCACACAGAGCAAACACAATGCTCTGTGACCCAGCCTACCAGGCACTACTGGAATCAGAGAGTATTAACAAGGATTCTTCTGGCTCTCTGTGATAAGGAAGTCATTACTGATTGACAAGAGGACCTGGACTGATATTCTCAGTATAAATCAGTGCTGCTCAAGTACAAATATTCACAAATCTAGAGATACAAGATATTCCTTTTTCACCAGTTTTGTAATTTTCATTGTTCCTGACTGAAAGTTCATAGAAATTGATAACAATCACAATGTATGTATTATAACCCAGCTGGCCTTTGATTTTGCAGGACAGTGGATTTATTTGTTGTTGTTTTTAAAATAATGATAACAATTTTAATATGTTTTAGGAACAATGTTTCCCTCTTATTTTCAGTGTCATAGCAGTTGCTCTGCATAAGGCAGTTCACAATTTCAGAGAAGTATGAAAACATGGATAAAGAACTAAAAAAAAAAAAGTCTTTTTTCACCCATTAAGGATGTACTGTCTCCCAATAATAGCTCAGCTCTTCTTATAGCACATTTGCAGAGTTCCTCAAATCACTCAACCTAATGCATATAACATGAGTGCCTTACACAGTGATAGAGTTCCCCAGAGAATCACCTGCAAGAAGCGTGTTATAGCAAAGTATAATCTACAGCATCCAGACTAGGAGGACGCCTTTGCAATTAGGCCAAATCTCTGAGTTTTATTAATTTAGACCATTTTTCTTTTCTTTCTTTAAAATTAATCAAAATTATGCTTCATCTAAGAGGCAAAGACTGTTTAAAGATAAAGTAATTCCAATATATAAACTGTGGC